GAAGGCACGGACCAGGTCGATCTTCGAGAACACAGATCTGCCGACTAGAGTGCCGGGAAAATCCTGAGGGTGTGGGACAGGGTAGAGGGCCAGGATGATTACGTTGTTCAGGCCCTCTAATCAACGTAGGGGCGCGAGAAAGTTAAATTGGATAATTTGTAAATTCAAAGCTATCGACCGCAGAGCATGTACGAGCGTAAACGGGGCAAACTGCGTGCTTGAACGTTAGAATGTTAACTGGCACTATAGTCTATCACATTTTTGGCTAACCAGGCACCCGAAGCAAATGAAGTCAAAGTGCAGTTGAAATTGACGAGTTTGTTTTAGGTTTTTTTTTCCTGAGTTCAAAGGGGACTGACAGTGCCCAAGGGGCGCTACAATAAACCTATTCTATTCTATTCTATTCTATTACCAAGAGGCGAGAAACAGGACGTTGTTAACTTTCACAAGGGTTTTTACTGGGCGAACTACGCAAGGTGCTTACGCGTTGTATCTGTTCTGTAACAACCTGCCGCATTAATAAATAGTTGGGCGGAAATTAACGACCTCATGGACTGGATCATGATCCCTACTGACCTAACTATGCCCTAAACGTTTGTTTTTCCCTTTAGGTTAGGGATTTGGCAGACATCGTTCGAGAACCAGCGTAATGTTTCAAGGCAACGTACAAAAGCTGGACCACCCGTGACGCCTTTCTTCCACCTAGAAAGGTCTTGTTCGTCTTTTAGACCAGATTCGAAAATGGGTTTTTGCAGTAAACAGGCAGTTTTCCAAGATCTCCGCATACTCAGAACTACCTATAGGTAGTCCAAAGTTAGTCTCACAACCTGACAAGTTCATTCGGCGGTCTGAGTTTGTTGCTGTTGGGAAAATTGAATATTATATCTGCGTGGTCCCATGAAAGCAGTGATTTTAAACAACCACTAAGGATCGGGGCGACCTATGCCTATTTGCAGACGTTCCACGACATCCCTTAAAGAATTTACACACTACATGTTATGTTTGTCCGGACGCACCTACAATACCACTTGTTGTTTTTGTTCTCTAATCTCGACTGATTCGTACCATTGATTCGATGTGATGGAAACCCAGTTTCTGATACCGTGAAAAACACACGTAGGACCGAATGTGGCAAGCCACTGATAAGCGAAAATGAATGGGAATTATGAAAAGGAAACAGGCAAGAGCATGTAGTTTTCGATAATATAAATAATTTCAGTTGCCAACTGGACAGCGGTTAGTAATTTCTAGTGTTGATGAGGATTGGCGTACATATAGCCCACTAGTGTTTGAGCAACAGTTTTTTGTGGGCCGGCGGCAGCTATCAGTAAAATTGAACACATCTTTTATTTACGAGAAGATGCAAAGTTTTTAACGAACAGCTAGCGTAAGTCAGTTAGTCAGTTTAAGTTAGTTTATTAAGGGAATGAGGCTTTCGCCCTTGAGCACCCTATTCATATCGATAAACAGAAATAAAGTCATCAATTACATCAGCAAATGCGAAAAGTTAAGAAGTTAGCGGTAAGTGTGAGCTAGGCGTAAACTGCTGCCGCTAAAACAATCATTATTGAATGTGCAGTAGGTTCTCAACAAGTGAGCGTCTAGTCTGCACTTAAAGGATTTGACACTTTCGGAAAGAACGACGGCATCAGGGAGTCCATTCCATGCCCCGATGACCCTGTGTGAGAAGGCGTTCCGTCGGACGTCCGACTGAGCCCGCTTCCTTTGCAGTTTGAACGGATGACCACGCAGACGGTCAGTCCGGGCCAATTCAAAGAATTCATCAAAATCTAGGGCACCCTCACGGCTTCTGACAATCCTGTAGGTTTGAATGAGATCGCCGCGCAGTTGCCTGTAATTTAGAGGAAACAGATTTAGTTCGGTCAGCCTGGTTTCGTAAGGCAAATGATGAAGATTCTTGACCATCTTCGTAGCCATCACCTGTACTCTTTCCAGTCGTTGATAATCTTTCTTTAACCACGGTCGCCAGGCCTGGACTGCATACTCTAAGTGAGACCGGACGAATGCCCCATAGGTTTTTCCGAACAGCTCCTTGTAGATCTGCACAAATCCTCGCCTCAGCGCAAATAACACCCTTATCGCACTTTTGGCTGCCCTTTGACACTGTGTACAATAAAATCCGTAAGAGTTGTTATTTAAAGCAAGAAAAAGCATTGGCCCCCTCCTGTGTTTTGGCTTTTCACATATGATGCCTAAGACAATAAAAATAATAGTTTTCTTTAGTTCTAAATTTGACTTTCTTAAATTGAAGGATGATATGGTCTGAATGAAACGTTAAAAACTCCCTTATGAAAGGCGACATAGGAGTTCACAGAATCTGAGCTTCCTAAGGCAAGTTATTGAGGAGCAAAGTCTCTGCGCAAATGCATATGCAAAGTCAGACATGAAGGTGTGAAGTGATGTGAATCTCGGAGCGTTATGGGCAAAAATATGATGGAAAGATCACAGCACCTCTTGCATAGTGTCAGTCCCCTTAGAACACAGGAAACAGTTAAAATAGGCTCGCGCATCTCGGCTGCTCATTAACTTCATTCGTCTTGAATTTCTGCTTTGTCAACAGAATGCAAACTAGGGTTTTTAAATAAA